ACAGCTGGTTTTCTGCATCTGAAAGCCAGGGCCGGCACTAAGGGTATCAAGCAGGGCAACTGCTCGGGGCCCCGCACCACGGGGGGGGCACCGCAAAGCTAAGTTGCTCATATGGTGGCTGAATTTCCTTTCTGAACATTCTATAATTACTGAGGGAATAACAAAATACAGTGATCCCATCAAACCATTAATAAAGCGACGTACAAATCAAATCGTTTTGTGACTTTTTTTCTTAACAAAAAAATAAAACAACAAAAGATAAAACTAGCCCTGAAGTGGTAACTAACAACAAATAGTATTTTCTATTGCTGTAGGTACTAGTTCTATTCCATTATAAAATAGTTTAAGGTTTATAATGCCTTTTTTGCTAAATTTGAGTGAGGTGTGAAGGGATAGTGATTTGACTTAATGTAAAAGATGTATGGCTACAATTTTCACACAGTTTCAAAATTCTGGAATGAGGGTCTAACTATGAAACTTATTGTAGTAAGAAAACTTTTAGGCTTCCATTCTGGAAGTTCAGTGGGCTTGGCAGCACTGGGAGATCTTAACATCCTAGATACTACAGTATCTAGTTACAATGGGATGTATTAAAGATGGAGCAATTGTCAAACTTTCTTACCCCACCTATTTAATGTTAATCTTCTGATGTCTTTGTTTCCTATCATAATTACTTTGTCTTGCCTCTTGCATATTGCCCATCTTTGCTCCCAATACTTCTGTGAGGAAATAGAGCAGGGGGGCCTTCTTTTTAATAGCCAGAGCTGTGAATCTGAAGGCCCTGAAATAAACCCTCCAACAGAGATCTGTTATGCTGACTGCCCTTAAACAGAAAGCAGTACAGGCCAGGGCCTGAACCAGACTAAACTGCACAATTCCCTGCCAAACTCGGTCAAGGGTCATGACCGGGGGTGGGGGGGAGGGCAAGGAGGGAAAGAATAAAAAGCCCCAGCAGCAGCACTAATGAAATATGTTCATGGCTGATGAAATATAATAACCACTTGTGTGAAGCAATAGGTAACTTTAGCTAAATGCAATTTCTTAACTCATGCAGCTTCTCCTTTGGGTGATCTGTGACCCACTCCGTGATTCCAGCTATCTGCTAAATTAGCCAATCATAGATCTTCTTTAGGTGTCCCATGGAACCCCCCCCCAATCTTTAACCAAAACCCCTCCAGAAAATAACATGTCTTGAGGAATGTACCCAAACTGGTGCCAAGTACCACCCCTGGGGAAAAATCACCAAGCGCCCCTCTACCCAAATAAACACCCAATTCTCGGAAAATAATGAGGAAGGTACCATGGATGGGAGGGGAATGACCCTAATTTCTTAACTCATGACGTATTGTTTGTACTTTGCTTGCGGTTTAATGAAATAAAAACCTGCCTGCGAGCAGTCCTCGGTGTGTCAGTCTTCGGACTGCACCCCAGTGCACTGGTATGTATGTCAATAGACTGGCCTCAGGCTTGAGTCTTTGAACTAAAATCATTGCGTGGGTGTCTTTGACCACAACACTTCTTAGCCTTGATAATGATTGCAATGAAAAAAGTAATCTCATAATCTGATTAAACTATTATCCCAGGATAAAATTTGCATGTATTTGCTTTTAAAAGAAAATGCAAACTTAATAATATTGGATATAGCTTCTGCTTTGAGCTGCAGTAGTTAAGTTAAAAATAGGAAATTAGAGAGAGTAAAGTATCCGGTGAGTTCTCATTGTTAAGCCAAGGAGTTTGTGTGAAATTCTGGTTTTACATTGAGCTTCATCTTTGCATGCGTGTATGCTATGCCACAGTTATTGGAATCTGATTTTGCTGAAGAAAAATATATATGCCTTTGGCCCTGGGAATTTGAATGTTTTATTGCCCTGCTCATGATATTCTGTTTTTTCCAGTTCTTAGACTACTGCTCTGAACAAGTGGGAAGTATTTATTAAATAGCAAACAGCTTTATCTAAATGGAGATAGTCAAGGTTGTTATGTCCAAAGCTTGACATACTTTTGTCCCTTTTGCAGAGTGCAATGTAATTTGAGGGATTTTTAAAACAAATACATGTGCTACTTTCGCTTTTGTAACCGGTTTATTGTACTTCTAAATAAAAACAAACTAAATACAAAGTATTCTTATGGTTATCGGTAACTTGATACAATATCAGTGCTCCTAAAATACTTTTTTGTGACTCAGTGTCAGTGATTAATGGTTACCATAAATCTTAAAATAGAGGGGTTGTGTGTCAATGTAATGGAAGAAAACACCTGATTTTAAAGCAAGAGATTCCAGTTTCAAACTTCTAGATTTCAGAGTTTTGTTACATACAGAGTTCAGAAAAAAAATGAAATTCAGATTTAAGAATTCTGCTAAGGAGCTTTTATAAAAATTCCTGAAGTATTCTAATCTAACATTGCAGAACCACCATGAAGATGTATATAACTTACTTAACTAATTCTTACAATGTTGATGGAAAAACTTAATTTCCTGTCAAATTACTTGTCCCAGGCAAGTGATAAAACAATTTTTTGTAAACATGTCCCTAATATAGGTTCATCCACCCAAATGAAATGAGGATGGATCGTGATCTTTAAAATTTCAGAAGAGATCTTTTAACCATTTGAAAGCCCCATTTATCACATTCTCCTGCTCTTGGAGAATGTCACTTCACTGCATGTTAAACAACGGGGACCTTTGTCTGGCTTGTTGAAGGTTGTGTTGCCCCTTTAATGGCAGCTAGAGAGTTACTTGCTGTGTGGAGACAGCTTCATACCAGGTCAGTGTGGGGACGCTAGGTGACCAGAAGAGAAGGGAACTGTTTATGCCCACGTCTATGCAGTAAAAGCCCTCTTTTCACCTGGACCATGCTAAGCAGCACCCACTTCCCCACCCATGGAAGTAGTTGAAATGCCAGGTTTCATCATGATCAGCTGTGAGCATTATGCTAGTCTCCGCTTTCTTGGGGGGCTAGGAAGGATCTGTTCCCTTACCACCAGATTGGCCAAGACAAGGTGGATGTGTTTGCCTTCCCCATAGCAGGTTGAGGGCTTAATGGGGGACAAAGAACAAAAAGGACAGGAGTTAGGCTGTGATTGTGTAAGCTTGGGGCGGATGTCCAATACAGGTACTTCATAGGGAATGGATATGGTGATCAGATAAAATGGATTGGGAAAGGATTTAAAGGAGGTATTCTTTAAAGGAGTGGAAGTGTGTGTGTGGGGGGGAGGTTGGGGCTCTTATGACTGGCATGGCAGGGAGGCAGCCCCCCTTTTTTACCCTCTTAACACTCATTTGAGGGGATAATGAGGTCCCAGTAGTGAGTTGGCTGGGCCCAGGATGGGTAAGGAGGAGGGCTGCCAGTAGCCCCCTGGGTATATGTAGATGAGTATGGAATTACCTGCACTGAACAATTTAATCTGCCAGATTCTCCTAGTCATGTAGAAATAAAGTTTCAGCGTAATTGAAGCATATCCAGTGTCTGCTGTCCTTCCAGCATAGCTGGACAATGCTTACAAAGGCCTTCCGTTTGGATTCTTTGTTACATGTAGTAGGCTGGATGGTGTTGTAGTAAATGTCACAAATAGACTTGTCCAGAAAATGCAGTTTGCCATGGAGAAGCACATTTTATTACTTTTTTTAAAGGGCACAAAGTTATAGCATACTTGACTTAATTTTTTTTATAAAGTGTTATCTAAAAAGCTTTCAGAAGCCTTACTGTGTTTACACAAAACTACTATTGGTTTTAACCTTATTGGTAGCTAGTGATATTTTTACTTTTTGGCAGTTGAAGGGCGTAACATTGACTCTTTTTTAAATACTATAGATGTTACCACTTTGCTCTCTTGTAAGTTACTATTTAATAATGCTACAGTTTCTTGAATGAGGCAAGCATTAGGTTCTCTGTCTAAGCAGTAAGTTTCCAGCCACATGCAAACAGAACCATCTTTCATTGGTGTCAGCTGTTGTACCACAAGTGATGTATTGTACCTTGATTTTTGTCCCTTTTGTTTGGTGGGTTGGTTTCTCAGTGTCCCAGGAGAAATTGTATGACACTTGCATTTTCACTATAGGATGGGTGAGGGGTACTACAGGAAGGCTCTGACAGAGGTGTTGACAGGAGCGGCACCAGGGTTTTTGGCGCCCTAGGCAGGGGTCCTTCCACACTCCCGGTCATAGTTGGCAATTCTGCGGCGGGGGTGTCCTTCCGAGCTCCTGGTCTTCGGGGCACTTCGGCGGCAGCGGGTCCCGGAGCGAGTGAAGGACCCGCCGCAGAATTGCCGCCGAAGACCTGGAGCGTGGAAGGACCCCCCGCCGCCGAGGGCGGCAAAATGCCGCGCCCCCCCCAAATCCTAGTGCCCTAGGCGACCGCCTAGGTTGCCTAAATGGAAGCGCCGGCCCTGGGTGTTGAAATTAAGAAGTATAACTGATAATTTTTTATTCTGACAATATATTAATACTGTAGTAGAAACCTGTTAAGTTGGTTAATTAGTTGCACCAAAATATTCTTAAGATAGACCAGTGACAATTATTAGCACTAGTCTGTACTTGACCGAACTAGTTTAAAAGCTTGTTTTCACATCCTCCTTTGTTTAGCCATACTTCACACTGGAATGATATTTATAACTGGAATAAAAGGGAGAAAACCCTGTGTGGCTGAGAAACAGATGCTTGGTAACACCTATGGCACACAAACCATATTTTAATGTTGTCTTTCCCCCTGAGCAAGTATTGATTCAAATATTATTTCATTGTGGAGTTAAATATCTTTGTGGTCACTAAATTAATTCTCAGGCGTATGTATTCACAGCTCCTAATGAGTGAGGTTTTAAAAATATTTTTTGAAGGGGACTTTCTCTTTAAGCATGCAACTTGTTTTAGGCTTTGGTTGCCAGAGAGTAATAACTATCAAGTATAAGACAACTGAATTCTTTGGCAAATGTTTCTTTGTTTTCCTTCCAACCTTTTTGCCAGTTTGAACAAATCCCTGATGTATAAATTTCTCCTTTTTTAGTGGTGGATCGTCTGGGCTGTGATCCTCGAACACGTTTCCATGTTCCTCCGAATACCAAGCAGTGGATTGCCTTGCTGCAACGAGGAAACTGTACATTTAGAGAGAAAATATTGCGAGCAGCTTCACATAATGCCACAGCTGTGGTCATTTACAACAATATATCCAGTGAGGAACCTGTCACTATGACTCATCAAGGTAAATAGTATGAAGTCTGTTTCCTTTTTGTCCCCTTTGCCCTCTGGATATTTTTCTGCCATATAAACTATTTTTAAGGCACTGTTGACCAGGGCTTTGGAGCTGGGCTCCGGCTCCGCTCCAGCTCCAGGCAAAAACCTGAAGCTCCACTGCTCTGGAGCTGCTCCAGGCTCCGCTCCAAAGCCCTGCTGTTGACAGTATACAGCTACTTCTTAAGTGTTTTGTACCCTTTGTTCTTTGCAAATATGAGCAGGTACACAATATAGTGAAATACAATGAATACATCTGGAACTGTTTTTGTTTTTTTTTAACTCCAGAGGAATACTCTTATCCACTGAGTAACTTTTTTTTCTTTCCCTTTTTTGGGATCTTAAAGCTATCATTTTTGTTTCAAATCTTAGTGCTATTGCTTAGTGGAGAGGCAGAAAACAAAACCGTGTATAACAGAGAAGAGCTGTAACTTTATAGAAAACATCTGAGAGTGAAGAATTTTTATAGTAATGGGACTTATAGTGGAATTTTGAAGGCTGGGGTTTTCAAACGACCCTAAGAGAGTTAAACTCCAAAATCCCAGCCTACAGGCTTCTTTTAGTGACATCTTACAAGGACTTCACCATTCCTGGATGGTACAGACTAATAAGGCCACCACACCATTGCGATGCAAGACTAAACGGGACATATACCTACTGTTTTCGAGGAGGAGTTGTCTTTGTAAACATAATCTGGAATTCTTTCACGATTTGATATATTAATGATCTGGATCTCTGAAGACTTGCACATTTCTAGGGCAGATCACATGTAAAAATTTGGCATTGCTAGAAAATTATTTTAGGATTACTGGAGCTTTTACCCTTAGGTTTTTTCCCTTGCTGAAAGAATCCCTTTAGCAAATTTTACAGTTAGACAAAATTTGCGTTTACCTGCATTTTCCCAAAAGAATGTCTATTCACTTGGGATGTCTTCATCCTTCAGCTCACCCCAAAAAGGCCACTTTCGATAGTTGCATCTCCTTTGAAAACTTCCCCTAAAAATTGTTCCACTATGGTTTTTTTGAACATACTGGGGGAATGCTTGTGGAATTTGGAGTTTCCAAATTATCATTTTGTATCTTACCAACCTCAGTGTGAATAGGATTGATATTCTAGGGAAATGAATATCCTCTACCCCGATACAACGCGGTCCTCTGGAGCCAAAAAATCTCACCACCTTACAGGTGAGACCGCGTTATATTGGGTTCGGTCTGGTACGGCGTACCAGCAAGAGCCGGTATGCTGTGCCGGACTGGACCGGCTTCCCCAGCGGTCATTTAAAGGGCCCGGTGCTCCAGCTGCTGTGGGGAGCCCTGGGCCCTTTAAATCCCCGCGAGAGCTCTGGCAGCGAGGCTTGGGTGGGGATTTAAAAGGCCCGGGGCTCCCTGCAGCGGCCAGGGCCTCTGGCCCTTTAAATCACTGCCCGAGCCCATTTGTCAAAGCCCGATTTAAAGGGCCCGAGGCTCAACATGAGTTCGGATATAACGCGGTAAAGCAGCGGGGCTCGGGTGGCGCTTTAAAGGGCCCGGGGCTCCCTGCTGCTTTACCATGTTATGTCTGAATTCGTGTTGTATCAGGTCGCGTTCTATCGGAGTAGAGGTGTAGTTTTAAAAAAAAAAAAAAAAAAAGGCTTTCCTGAGGGAGCCATACAGTCACCTGAACATCTCATTTTGGGAGTGGAGCAGAACCTTATACAAAGGAAATTACCCAACTCATGTGTTCATTACTTTTGTTGATTGTAAATGTCTCTTGCTTTGTTCCAGCAAAACTTTTTTTACCTTTGTTTTCTTTTGTGAGCCATCACCACTTCTCTGCTCATGCAGTTCTCCTAAAGACTTAAGCTCCAAAGGCAGAGACCAAAGTTGATGTGAAGTTTGTAACAGTTACCAAGCCCAAAGTATTTACTTCCAGATGATGCAAATGATTTCTGACTTCTAGTGGCCCTAGTGAAGTGGGATACTTGTAACAAGATAGTAAGATTTCTGTTTGTTGTGACTAAAACAGAGAGGAGAGGCAAGAAGACTAATATAGCCAGACTCTCTCAGACGGTAGGAAGATTTAAGATAGCTTTTTGCTTGAGCTCTCTTATCTCTGAATCTTGAGGTCTTTTAGACCTGTCTCTTTGTAACCAAACTTGATCTCAAATCTCTTAACTCTTCCCTTGCCTACACTGTCAACGGTCATATTCCTTGCTCCATCTTTTGGGAGCGGATGGAAATCTCTGCACTAATTGGATATTTAAGCTCCATTCCTTCACTCTTCCAGCTTTCCCCTTCCTTAAGGTCAGCAGTAGTTGAATTCTTTTCATGTGTCTGACAGTTTTGTAGACTCTTAGTGGGATGACAACAAGTTATAAGTGCCTTAATCAAATAGTTTTTTGACATATTTGGCAAAATAGATGCTACACACCAATGTTGTCCCAATTCCACATGTTAATATGGATCAGTGGGTCTTGTTCCTATTGCTTACCAGGTAGCAGCATATACTGTTTTGTCAGGGAAGCACAGCAAGGAAAACAGCAGCTGCCCAGGATGCAGTGCTCCTGTGGGCCATATGCATGATCTCAGCCTGGTGTGGGTCCCAACACCAACCTAGGAATGCTTGTGCCAAAAATACAGGGTTTGGGTCAAAATAAAAAGTGTAGGTTTATTCATGCTGTATATCTCAGGTTGTAGGCATCGTGTATGTAGTTATGTAACTTTATTAAAATATTGTCCCATTTCCCACAGGGGTGCCACTTCAGATTCTGGGGTGAGGAGGTAACTTCCAACCGGGGGTGGAATCACTTGCATTTGTTTGAAAGATAAAATGTCTATTTTTGGAGCATTTATTTTGATTAGTTCCTGTATTTTTAACAATACATATAGATTTATTACAACAAAATTACCAACACAGGGCAAATAGGCAACTTTTAAAGCTAAGCTAAGCACCTTTGCATGCAAACCCAGTACCAAATAAAACCTAATTTTCAAGTCTCTAAAGCAAAGCTCAGAACACCCAAGAGAAATACAGTAAAATATTACTGATCCCACAGCCTTGATATATAAATCTTTTAGCCTTTACAGGTAGCAGTGCAGTCATACAGTATGATACTTTGCTATTATGGAGCAAACTTGGACAAATTGCTAAGGAGTACAAAAGAATAGCAAAAGAATAGCATGTAAGGGCAAAATCAGAAAGACTAAGGCATAAAATGAGTTAAATGTATCAGGGACCATAAACGGTAATAAGAGGTTCTTTAAATACATTAAGAACAAGAGACAAAGGAAAGTATAGGTCCTCTACTTAGCAGGGAAGGAGAGCTAATAATTGGTGACCTGAAGAAGGCTGTGGTGTTTAATGCCTATTTTGTTTCAGGTTCACTAGAAAGGTTAATGGTGACTAGATACTCAACTCAATTAATAGTAATAACAAGGGGGAAGGAATGCAAGCCAAAATAGGGAAAACAGGTTTAAAGAATATTTAGATGTATGCACTTCAGCAGGACCTGATGAAATTCATTCTAGGGTACTTGAAGAACTAACTGAAGCAATCTCGCAACTGTTAGCAGTTATTTTTGAGAACTCATTGAAGTTGGGTAAGGTCTCAAAGGACTGGAAAAAGGCAAACACAGTACCTATAGTTAAAAAGGGGAACAAAGAAAACCCAGGGAACAATAGTCCGGTCAGCTTAACTTCAATACCTGGAAAGATAGTGGAACAGATTATTAAACAATCAGTTTGTAAGCACTTAGAGGAAATAGGGTTATAAGGAATATCCAGTATGGATTTGCAAAAACAAATCATGTCAAACCAAACTAATTTCCTTCTTTGACAGGAACACTGTCCTACTGGATTTTCAGGGAAGGAACCAGTAGATGTGAGATATCAAAAGCTGTACTAAAAAATCAAGATGATTCTTGGGGCACCCAGGACTGTGAATCACGTCATTACCCCCTGCCTCCATCATGAGAGGGAGTCTTGCCTATGCCTGGTTGGGTGTCAGCTCCTTAACACTACCAGTCTTTCTCAGGCTCTTGCTCGGACAGTCTCCTCTAGGCGAGGACAGCCCTGTTTTCACCTTGCAGGCTAACAATAGATGCACCCCTCTCCCTAAGTCCCTTTGAAGTGTTCCACTGAGATATCTAGCCCCTTTAATTGGCAACTTATAGAAATTCCAGATCCTCTGCCCCTGGAAGAGCAGTGTGCCCCAGTTTACTAGTTTTACCTTAAACCACCACTCCTGTAAACCAGTGGTTCTCAACTAGGGGTACGCAGAGGTCTTCCGGGGGGGGAGGGGGGTACATCAACTCATCTAGATATTTGCTTAGTTTTACAACAGGGTACATAAAATACAGTAGTGAAGTCAGTACAAACTAAAATTTCATACAGACAATGACTTGTTTATGCTGCTCTTTATACACTGAAATGCATGTACAGTATAAAATAAATCAATTGGAATATAAATAATTATATGGTAAAAATGAGAGAGTAAGCAATTTTTCAGTAATAGTGTGGTGCGACACATCTGTATTTCTATGACTGTTTTTGTAAGCAAGTAGTTTTTAAGTGAGGTGTAACTTGAGGGTATGCAAGACAAATCAGACTCCTGAACGGGGTACAGTAGTTTGGAAAGGTTGAGAACCACTGCTGTAAATCACACAGCACTGATGAGCCCTTATAATAAAACAAAAGTAGATTTATTTAAGAAAGACTAAAGATTTAACTAGAAATGAGAGTGGTGGTAACAAATAGTTACAATACAAAACAAAATCATAAAATGCAAAACGCTGTCTACCCTTAATAGTTACCTTCCCTATCTAATAAAGTACATCCTCTTCCCCCGCCCCAAGGTCTGGCAGTTGCAGAGCTGGCTGGCTTCACAAGCCCCAGGATCTAGTTTTTCATGAGAACACTGGGTTCCTCCAGGTGTCTCCTGAGTGAAAGGATCCACAGGACCTCACTCCTCTGTTACATTGACAATCCTTTGGTT